TAAATAAAAGAACACACTCCTGCGCTTCTTTGACACTTGCCTTGTGGTGTTTAAACTGATCCACAGTTCAACAGATATGGCTGATATGATCTCTGGTGACAGCTAAAGCAGTTCCCTGTTTGCCATCTTGCAACCAACTTTACTTTCTTGAAGACATTTGAAAGTAAAAGACGGCAATGAAAAATTCAGTGAATTCATAACTCTTGCTTCAAGTTGTGACATATTTTGAAATCAGTCAGGTTTACCTGCATGCATTGGGCTTATATTTATGTATTTAAATGATGCTTTGTTATGGCCAGGGAAGTTTGTAAGTCTGATTCTGCTCTACATCCTGAGCTGTATTTCAGTGAGAACTTAAGTAAGAAGTTTATTAGTGTTTATATTTGCAAACAGAACTCTTGTTTCTGCTCTTTCTTCCTCTTTGCTCTGGCATTACTGCTCTTGCAAACACCAGTGAGGCTTCGCTCCAGAATGAACTGCCGTCTAGAGGACGGCTTTACTACACTGAAAGAAAATCCTTTTACGAACATGATATCAAACAAAGGGACAGTTTGTAACAAATAATTAGGCAGAAGGGGATTAATTTGTCAGCCATATGTGACCTGTGTCTTAAAGTTTCTTGTCAGTAGAGGATGAACAAAGACACCCCTATATCATCCACCCTTTCACTTTCTGTTGCATTGGTTGACCATCTGTACTCTTTGTCCAGTGAGAGCATTGGAAAAAGAAAAAATAATTAATAATGGAGTCCATCAACTAGTCTGTCCCGCCAGGCACAGGTAGTTGGCTTGTTGGTTGTCCTACACAGGATAAGCTCCGTTGCAACAGTTATCAGTTACTGTTTGTCTTCATAAATGGTTTACAGTCATTTTCATATCTTTTTTAACGGCTATGTCAAGGGTGAGTAAGCTAGGTCTGTCCTCTTGGTAAATGGTTTGTTTGTTAGTTATCCTACACTAGACAAGCTCCAAAAAAACAAAGCAAACATGAGTTGTCAGCGGCTATTTTTCACAGAAGTCATACCAGCTTGCGAAATTAGGCTTCTTTCATCCTTTTTTTCCAGAGACATTTTCATGGTGTTTATCTTTTATTTTAGCAATTTTAAAAAGAGTCCCTACCTTTTAGAAATAGCAGATTTTCACTCCACAGCTTCTGTAGAAGGCCTCGCACGCTCTGTAGGGAGGTATGAGTCTCTTGATTGTAATTCACTTTGTACACCACTAGATGGGGGTAGTTCTTACACACTGTCCCTTTAATCAGATTGAAAAACATTTTATCTAACAAACCATTAATCAACAATTAGGTTTATGTCCATTGTTTGTCCACAATAAAAAATCATTGCAGGCCTTACTGTGATATTTTGAGGGTTGTTACCAACGTTAGAAAGTGCTGCAATCACAATGTTGGTTGCAGCTTGTGCCCATCCTCTTTTCTTCTCTCTGTCCCCTGTGCTCCCTAATCTCTGTGCCCTTTAGCAATTTTTTCATCAATCATTTTAGCTTTATATATATATATATATATATATATATATATATATATATATATATATATATATATATATATATATATATATATATAATTTTATTTTGATTATTGTTTTTCATTCTCTTTCATTATTTATAGCTACTTACTTTTTTTCCTCACGTACAACACTTTGAATTGTCTTGGCAGTAAAATGTACTATATAAATAAACTTGCCTTGCATAGCATTTGAGCAATGTCAGTTGTGTCCAATGTAATGATCTGCTACCATGAAACTATGCAACTAGCTAAATATTACATTACAAAGAAAAAAGCTCACAAAACCTTAAATGTATAGGCCAACAATACTTTCAATTTAAATAGTCTCTTGCAATTTGAACATTTTACAAATTGGTATTGCCATGATGGTAGACAAATATTCAATAGAATGAATAAGTTCACCTGAATTCATTAAAATATTATGCAAAAAATGTGTCTATTTCAGTAATGCGTTCTTAGATTACCCAGGGAGGGCAATATATTTGAAAAGTTGATTTTGATTTCTTTAAGTTATGACAACTGATATAAAAACTTTCTTTACATTCACAATAAATAAATAAATTAATAACAAGAACGCTAAAAATCCAATCTTTAAATGTACTGTATGATTATGCTAAATGGTCCCAATGGTTTATCTTAATTCAGTCCCATTTAAGAAGCCAAATGTTCCTACCTGGCAGAACAGATGATGCTTTTGCATTACGATAAAACAGTAGATGACCAGAAATCTCTGTCTACCTCAGACGTGTTAATGAGCTGCAAAGAGCTGCAAAATATAATTTATATATAAATTAATATAACTTTTTTTGTGTACTTCAAAATTTGTAGTTTTTTTTATTTTTTATAAACTAGTGAAATAAACAGCTGTTAAAAACTACACTGATAAAAAGGTACAAGTTTGGACTTTTACAACCTTATGATACACCAAGTTCCTGAAAGCTCTAACGACAAACTACAGGCTTTTTAAGAGGATTTATCAGTAGGTGTGTCAGAGGAAGATTGACAGGAACATGCACTTTGGCTCACACCACATTTATTAACAAGACCTTAAAATGATACAGTTTAAATGGTTGTAACACTGCTAATAATGAGTAGATCTAATGATTATATGTCTGATGGGGGTCCTAGATGTATAGGGCATTGTTGCTTTCTACTTTCCTTTAGCATCACAATCCAAAAACCCCACACAGTCTTTTTCTAACTACTTAAACAATGTTAAATTGTGGATGACCTCAAACCTTCTGAATCTGAATGAAAGTAAAACAGAAATTATAATATTTGGTTGTTGTCCAGCAGTTTTTCCTCCTGGCTCCTTGGGCCCTCTTACACCTAACATTCGATCATTAGTAAAAAATCTTCGTTTAATATTTGATGACAGGTTGAAATTTGATCGCAAGGTTAGTTTGGTCGTAAAAAAAACAGCTTTTACCAGTTAAGAATTTTATCCAAAGTGGAAGGGTACCTGCCACACAGAGATCTGGAGACTGTAATCCATGCTTTTATTAATACAAGATTGGATTACTGTAAGTCTTTATATGCTGGCTTGGACCACTCACTTTTACACCATCTGCTGTGGGTACAAAATGCATCTGCCCGTCTCCTTACTGACACACATAAACATGACCACATATCTCCTGTTGTACCCTCGTTGCACTGGCTCCCGGTTGTTTTTAGGATAGATTTTAAAATTTGATTGTTTGTTTTTAAGGCTCTTAATGGTCTAGCTCCCCAGTATTTGACTTAGCTTCTCCAAATCCGTGCCTCGGCCAGAACACTGAGATCTTCTAATTAGTTGCTACTGGTCATGCATAAAACCAGACTTAAAACCGAAGGTGATCATGCCTTTATGGCAGCGGCACCGAAACTCTGGAATAACTTACCTTGACATATTCGATCGGCAGGCTCCTTTTGAGGTTTTTAAATCCTCTCTAAAAGTACACTTCCTCTCCCTGGCTTTTAATCAAGTCTAAGTGGACATCTGGCAAAATGTTATTTTAAATTAAATTTTTTTATTTTAACATTTATTTTAACTGAAAAAAATGATCCTACTATATTTTATCTTCATTCAATTTTTCTTTTTGTAATGCATTTATGTATTCTAGCCTTCAGTTTTTATCTTATGTTCCTTAACTGTGATTCCTGTACAGCACTTTGGTCAAACACGGTTGTTTTAAATGTGCTTTATAAATAAAGTTTGAGTTGAGCTGAGTTTTGGCAATTTTAAGGTTGTAATTGATAGTATGATGTTTTTTTTTTTTTATGTGTAGAAGGTTGTTTCTGTTTGTTTCTTAACCAGAGAGACAAGATTATGCTAACTTCAAAATACTTTGATGGATCTAAGCTTGTTCAATGTTCAATGATGTCAATCCTTGTCCTGGAATAAATCCTACAGACCAAAATTGGATCAGTGGCTTCAGAAAATGGCATCAGCTCTTCCTCTGAAAGGAATTAGGGATGAAGAGCGATATGGGCAAATTTGAAAAATGTCCATAAGCCTTTCATTTCATTCATTAATGGGTTAAGTTTGTCTAGGCTGCTTAAACTATAAAGATATAGGTTAGGTGTGCATTAACAAAATAAATACCACAGTTTGCCTAAGCTTATTCCTGATATTTTATGTCTTATGTCTTAACTTTCCACTGAAATGTTTTGGTCCAGCTCTCTGTGATCAGCCGATTTCCTTAGCATTGACCTTTTGGTCCTTCAGTGTGTGGCAAGCACAACACGTCACACAGATTTCATTCATGAAATTTTTGATGTCAGACGGGAAATGTCATAAAAACTTCTCATGATCAAGCCTGAATTCAGTGTGAATTAAAACAGGCCAAATAGGAGGAAGCATTTAAGATACTGCATGGAATAATTTTAACAGAGAAAAAGAAAATGAGTTGGTTAAAGAAGTGCAGAAAAGCGGCTTCACATGCTGAGGTAGTGAGTTTGTTCCTTGGCAAAAGCTGATTTATTACACAACACATTTAACAGACTATGTCCTCTCTGTCAATCGACAGACAAGGACCCGAATGCTACACACTGCGGGATACAAGAAAAAAACAAAACAAAGTCCAACATGCTGAATATCAGACCAAACCACTGAAACACAACGCATTCATCAGCATTACCACAATACTTTTTCCTAGGAGCCAACGCAATTATCGCGGCGCCTTGAAAGAAGATGATTTTGGCAAAAATAAACACTATTTTGAGCATATATGTTTTTTAGAGAATAAAATAACTTCCAGTCTGATTTAAATTCATATTTATTACGATGCAATTTAAAACATCAATATTTCATTTACATAAATGTGAATGTATTACAATATGACAGCTAATTATTTCTATATAACCTGTATGTGGTTTCCATGCCATGCTTTGTTATCAGTGCTTATTTATTTCTTAAATTCACAGCCACAGTAAATTTTCATTGGAAAGTTATCCTTATGTCGGATAAGTAAACAAAGTGTGCGCTTGATTCTTTGCAGGAATCCTCTTCTCCACGCTGGTGTTTGGACCCGCCTGTGGCTTCATCCTCGGATCTGTCTGCACTAAATTCTATGTGGACTTTCTCTTCATTGACACCAGTGAGCTCATCAGTCCCACCATTATATTGTGTTTCTTTTTATGTTTCTATTTCAATGCAACTCATTGATTTATTCCATGCCTTTTGCCACAGGTAAGCTGGGCATCACTCCAGATGACCCGCGCTGGATCGGAGCCTGGTGGGCAGGCTTCCTGCTTTGCGGTGCCTTATTGTTCTTCTCGGCTCTCCTGATGTTCGGCTTCCCTCACTCCCTGCCGGCGAAGGACAGGGATGAGGGAGCGGAGAGTGAACAGGTTATGCTGCCTCCTTCTTCCAGCCAGGAGTATGAGACTCCAAAGCCCAGCAATGGGGTAGTGCTCTGCCATGAGGCTGCCAACAGCCCCACCTGCTGCCAGCAGCTGAGAGGTGAGCATGCAGCACAGAAAAGCACAGATTCACATATAAAATACATATAGAGGGGTGAGGTCTTCAACCACTTTTACAAAAAAAAAAAAGGATACAGTTTTTTTCATATAAATATCTAAAAGTCTTTTGTGCCCAGAATTTATTCATCTTTATTAGTTACAATTGCAAGTATTTATTAAATACATTTGTAGAGTTTTACACAAACATAGGCCAACATTTATTCCAATATTCTTACTAGCTATGTCATAATCTGAAAAGAGAAGAGAAGCTAAGACCTGCCAACGATAGCCAGTTTGATCAAATCCTGAATTTTGATTGGGCTGGATTAATGCATAAATATAGTTATTCTGAGCCACTCTATTGCAGCTCAGCTGTGTGTTTTAGGATTATTTCCACTGTAGAGGATGAAGCTTCTCCACTTTTCCAGCCTGAAACAGAATCTCCTACTTGGTTACATTTTTATTTATCTTTTTTTTTAGCCTCCCATTAACTGGATAGAGTTGACAAAAGGATAAATAGACATGCATGATGCCCCCACCACCATGTTTAACTTTGGAACTGCTGTGCAATTTTAGTTTGACATCATACACGTTTGCTATGTCCTCTGTTCGACATGAAAAGAGGTTTAAAGGAATTGCTTGTGACTTTCTTTGAACAATTGGCTTCTCTTCTCTCAGTCTTCCATAAAGTCCTTCTGTGTGTTGTATTCTACTAATCCTCATGCCGTTAACAACCATTCTGCCAGCTGAGCTGAGGATCTTTGCAGCTCCTCCAGAGTTAGCATATCCCTCTTGGTATGGTGTTCCAGTTAAGGTTAACAGCAGCTGTTCTTGACCCTTCTTTTGTAGATTATAGCTACAAAAATGCTCTGTTGTGGCTTTGGATGCTTTTTGATGTCTTAACCTGAATTAAAACATTAACTCTGAACTATTGGTTCATTAATTTTCTCTAGCAAACATCTGAAACCATTTAGTTTACTCTACGTCTCATTTACTTTGACTTGATAACAGAGATGGTCACATAAAATTTGCATTAAAAACATTTCTGTGTGGCTGGATAAATATATAAGGTCAAATGAGAATAATTACATTTGCACATGTTAGAGAAAATGTTTTTACATGTTTTATATGAGCAACATTGTTAGAATCTGCGTAATGATCATGCAAACTAATTTTCTTCAATCATATTTGATCATATTTGTCCTTTTGGTTAAAATACCTATTTTTCTATTATTGCAGTATTCTCTGAGTTATAATTTCTGTGAGTTGCTTTTTAAACTCAGATGATAGAATAAGATTTGTCAGGACAGTAGGGCTCATCCTGCCTTTTGTGTTTTACCATCAGTGATTCCTGCAGTGACAAAGCACCTGCTATCCAACCCTGTCTTCACCTGCATCATCCTGGCTGCCTGCATGGAGATTGCAGTGGTTGCCGGCTTCGCTGCCTTCCTGGGGAAATACCTAGAGCAGCAGTTTAACCTCACCACCACTTCTGCAAACCAACTGTTAGGTTTGTCCATCAGGAGCGCATATCATTAGTTAAGCCTCAAGCTTGAATACATGAATTCCTGTGTTGTAAACATGAATCTCCCTTTTCTGGTTAAGGCATGACAGCTATTCCCTGTGCGTGTCTGGGTATCTTCATGGGTGGCCTGCTGGTGAAGAAGCTGAACCTCTCAGCGCTGGGAGCCATCCGCATGGCCATGCTGGTCAACCTGATCTCCACTGCCTGCTATGTTTCCTTCCTGTTTCTGGGCTGCGACAACGGGCCAGTCGCCGGAGTCACTGTCTCCTATGGCAACGAGTAAGAAAGACACTATCCGCCTGTTTTTAATGACAATAGTGGACTGAAAATTTAAAGGCAATTATTTTGGAAATAATCCAGCCTCTAATCTGTCCCCTGGTAGAACTTGGTTCATTAATAGTAATCTTTTCAAAGAAGAACCTATTATTCTGGATGGGATAAAAGTTTACTTTAGAATAGGACTTGATTGTTTTTCATTTATTTTTCTATTCAATTTCTATTTTTCTACAGAGAGTCAACAAATCATCTAAAAAAATTATAATACCATACAAAAGTATTTACAGCATCTTTGCTTTTTTCCTCATTTATGCCTCATTACATCCAAAAACATCAATGCTTTCCCCCAAGTTTCATACAACAGACCAACAAAACGTTTTGCATAATATGAATATAAATTTTTCTTTTTATTGAGGTTTTGAATCTGTAAATTTGGCCTGCTGTTTTAATGTTTAATAGAACCATCTTTTGTTGCAAATACAGCAGCAGGTCTTCTGGAGGCTCTTATTGACCTGCTTTGCCTGCTCTTTAGAAAGTTACTAAAGCTCATTCAAAGCAGATAAAAAAAAGCATCTTTGTCTTCTTCATCTTTAAAAGATTTTGTCTTGGATTTTTAGATTCATATTCTTTCCTGGACATTGCCGCCTGGGCAGTTCTAACATAAATAATATGCTTGGATCTAAAACGTGTAGCTCTGAGTTAGAGCTGATTTTCTGATGTAAGGTGAACCTTTGCTCCAGCTTCAAGTCTTTCGCGCACTCATATAAATGTTTCCACCAAATTTTTAAGATTTATGTACATTTATTACATTTATTTAGCGTTTCAGTTTATTTTAACACAAACCTATTGAATAAACTTTACATGCTGGATATTCATTTGTATGATAAAGCTTATTTATTTAAAATACACAGTTATCAGATTGAGAATCAGATTTAGAATAAATAAAGCATACTTACTCAAAATTAATACTATTGAGGGTCTTTATCTAAAATACAAAATGTTTTGTGCAAATTTAATAAAGGTAACCAGATTATTATTCAATTCAGACAATTAATCGTATGAATTTGAAATAAATACACTAATTAGCATAGAACTTTCTGAAGGATTGGTTGGACATGTCCCCACCAAAAAATTTTAAATGCATAGACTCTGGCTCCCAACAATATGTCGGACAAATTTCTAAATTAGATTTTGGTCCTTTTAAAGGAAAATAATCCCTGATGCAGCTAAAAGGGAAACTTCCATCAGTCAAACCCTATTTATTTGGATGGATGGATGAATGAAACTGAAATTGTTTACACACTAGGGAGGCATGATATATTGCTGTTGGCATTGGAATCAGCTGTTATTCATGCTTTTATTCATTCATTATTGTCTAACTACCCATAGATATAAATATCAATATATTTTGGTTCTTTTGTGTTCTCAACAATAGGAAAGCATTCAATAAAGATATGTTTGAGCTCAATTTTGCAAAATACAAACCCTATTAAAAGCGTTTTTGTCAAGTAACTGTAGGTCTATCAGCCACCACCCTTAGAGTGTCTCCATCAACTTTCATCACAAAGTTACACCCTTGCTAATTAGTAGTCATTTTGATTTGATTATTCTAAACACACAAACCTGAAAGTTATGTATTTTAAATAAATAAGTTATATTAAATTATTGGATACGATCATGTAATGTTTATTTAATAGGTTTGTTTTGAATTTATCTTAAAAGAAGGTAAATGGTAAAGGTAAATTTTTTTTTGTGAAAAAATTCAATAAATTGAAAACGTTGGGTGTTATTTATTGAATGTTGCCTTTAACAGGTATTCTTCCAGGATAACCCTGCATTTATCCCCAATCATCTTTCCATACACCGATGCCATTTTCTTTCTCCCTGCTGTAGCTTTTTTACATTTGTAACAAAATAGAGCTTTGATCGGTACATTTTCCACATGTATGCTCTCTCCTATCCATCATCTTCTTTCCACTTTCCCATAAAGGCCAGATTTACGAGTATATGATAATGTCTGTAGCTTTGAGTTGCTACAGCTCCTTCAAAGCAGTCAAAATGACATGGCTGCTACTTCTTAATGTTTTACATGCTGCAGCCTGTTAGTTTAGACCGATTGCTATGTGTTATAAGGTTTGAAGATATGGAAGTCTGCCCTCCTTTTTCCATATTAAAAATATTGAAAAATATTATATTCAAGACATAGGATATGGTGATAACTCTCCTGCTTTAAACCCTCTATAACTTTATCCCTGACCTGTCTGATTTGCTTTTTAGTCCACATGAAGTTAGTTCATTGGTTTTCATTAACACACCTTTGGGAGCCCTTATGTTGCTAAAGCAAATTTCTCTCTCTCTCTCTCTCTCTCTCTCTCTCTCTCTCTCTCTCTCTCTCTCTCTCTCTCTCTCTCTCTCTCTCGACAGATTTAGGATGTTCTAGTTTGACAAAGAACAAACTTAGTTATGTCATTCTCTAATGAAATCTCCAGATAACAGAAGCACTGAATATGCACAATGAATAATACATATTTTGTTCATGTACATTATTTAGTGTAATCACAGTGATTAGATTTATTTTGAGCTGTATGAGTCATTTTTTTCTAATAAAGGTCAACAGTGAAAGCAGGTAACAGCATCAAGTCCCAAAGCTCCCAGAGTCAGCTTTATTAGATGTGACCTGAACAATAAAAATGCAGTTCACCTCTGTTTGTTAGGGTGCAGCGGGCTTTCCATTTATACAAACAAATCTGCATCATCTCATTTCATCTATAAACAGGATTTCCATTCAGCCTGGCTTTGCACTCCAGAGGGCTTCATGAGCTGAATGCAAAAGCTTTATTGAGTCAGACAGCAATCCAATGAAGGAAAATAACTTTGATGAAACAAACCATGGCAAGATGTTTTAGGCAGATGACTCTTATTCTGTCATTGTCGGTGTTCTATATGCCATTTGTTTCATGTTTGTCTTTAATAAATCCTTCTGTGACCCTTAATCCTCAGCCCTGCCATTGTTTTTTTTATGCATTACCTGTACATACTAATAAGTATTGAAATCTGCTATGCTAGTAAGCTAAAGCTTATTTAATATATTCTAAACTAGTTTTTTAAATTAGCAAATTCATCTCTCTCCAACTATTTCCACCTTATCATAATAACAGTAAAAGCTTTATAACATGTTCATTAGCATATTCTCACCATGAAAGTTTCTGAACATCCAACAAAACACATATAATGCTTTTAAAAATAATTTCCTTCTCATCAGTTTAACCAAGTTTATCCCCATGGTTCTTATACAGTAGATTTAACTGAAGGCCCTTTTAAAATTACCCACTCATGTACTATATGTCTACACTGACAACACCAAAAAAAGCATATAGTCATGTTAAAATTCAACTATATACAGCAAGTGTTTGTCCTGATAGTTTTTACTTTTTGATTATGAAAACTACTTAAGCGCTGGGCATGAACAGCAGACATAAATGTTATATACTGTCACCATCTGCTGGCAATACTTAATTATACATGCATTCAATTGGAAGCTAAACAGCCTTAGCTCCTACTTCAGTCAACACCAGCGTTTATAATTCTATTTCGATGGCTACTTCTGTCTTTTCCCTTTTGTCTTTAAATATTTTTTTAGCACTTTCTCATATTTGAACTTGTCCCTGTGTCTCTTTTACCACCCTGAAGCAACCACATAGTATTAAAGGATCCTCTAAAGGCTCTGCTCTCAAACTGAAGCCTTGGTAGCCGAGAGATGGCTAATAAAATAGAAATGTTGAAAGTCATAGTATATGGACTAAACCCCTTAATATTGCTGTACCTGTACAGCTACTTTGACTGGACTATAGAAAAAATTAGACCAATAAATTCATTGTTGACGTTGCTAATTGAGAATAGGAAAACCTGTAAACATAAAACATGGACTAGTAAATAACCCTACTATAAATTCTATTACTTTTAACATGGTGATGGTGCAGGAACTACTCTCTAAAATGTTCCAGTTCATTGTTCCCCCAATAAATAAAATGGGATTTTCACCCCTAACCTCTGGCTTGGCAATAATTGAAACATTTGCTTAAACCTATTTCCTAATGTGTTTTTTTTTCCCTTAATCTGATATTTTTGTAAAGTTGTTTTTTTTTTACATCTGTAACAGGGAATGCCAATTAATGTAGCCCAGAGATGGGAAGTAACGAAGTACAAATACTTCGTTTCTGTACTCAAGTAGATTTTTCTGATCTTTTTACTTTACTTTACTACTTATTTTTATGGCGACTTTTTACTTCTACTCTTTACATTTTTAGACAAATATTTGTACTTTCTACTCCTTACATTTTAAAAAATTGTCTCGTTACTTTAGTTTTGAATCATTTCAATGGAGTTACCGTTATTATTTTTCACGTCATCAATACCAAATTCAATCTAATTGGATGGGAATCTACGTTGCATTTGACGCACCACTACAAGATGAATTTAACAGATTCGGCTGTATTCATTCGCGGCAAATCATTGCAGCTTGGTGGCGGTGGCGTTAGCATAGTAGTATGGACGACGAGATGATTGAAAATGAACACAACGGAGATCTAGTCCTATTGGCAGACATCCATTTAAAATGTAGGCAACGGCATGAAAAAAGTGGTTTCTACTGTTACTTTTATACTTTTAAGTAAATTTACAAGCCTGTACTTTGTTACTTTTACTTGAGTAAAGAAGTTTAATCAGTACTTCCACTTTTACCAGGGTATTTTTTAACACAAGTATCTGTACTTTTACTCAAGTACGGAAAGTGAGTAGTTTTGCCATCTCTGATGTAGCCGCTGCTGTAATGTATAATGTTTATTATACCACCATTTTATTATTGATTTAGCTTTTTTGATTGTAACAATTTAAACTTAAAATGTATCAGTATCTCAAACATGATATATTGTGTAACAATATAGGGAATGTTGTCACTATAATGATATTACTCTGAGCTTCTAGAAATAAAATGATAATCTTACTGGGAAAAGGTCTTAATCTGGAAAATCAGAATAAGATTTCAATATAGTGATAGTCCAACAACTTTGTTGAGGTAAAATACAGTAATATTCAGGAGATCAAGAATATTGATGTGTCAATGCAATGTGAGAAATGCGGAGTTCTGACATAGAAAATCATTTAAAGGGGTCCAAGGTCTAATTAGCTGTGTCAATCAACCTGGGCTTTATGGCCCAGTTTCTGACCCAGAATGAAGGATGCTTGGTCTAATAACAACATCGACTGCATCAAAACTGAATTTGTGATCCACTTTTTTTCCCAATACATCTACAGACACTTTTCTGTACAGCAGCTTCAGAACAGAAAGTAATTTTCAAGTACCTTCAATTGAAATGTTTTGTGGTGTTTGTAGATTGATAGGTACTTTTCAAAATCCTCAAGTTCATCTGTTAACGTAACTGACACATTTTTGTCTTTTTTATTTGACAACCTAAACTCAGCATGTGTTCCAGTCCACCCTATTAAAGAAAGGTCCAAAACAAATGAGTAATCTTCTCATCAAAGTGCTCCGGATATTCCTTCAGTTTCTACAGACCTACATGGCTGCTAAACACTAAGTTATGTCCCTGTGTTTTTGCTCAGGACACTAAACGTGGGGGAGAAACCAGAGGCTCAGTGCATCAGCCACTGCAGCTGCTTCACCTCCTCCATAAGCCCCGTGTGTGGCTCCAACGAGGTCACCTACCTGTCTGCCTGCTTCGCCGGCTGCTCCAGGACAGGGGTGTCTCACACCGCATCCAACATATCACAGGTATTAATCAGTGTCACACAAGTTCACCATCGTTCCATTTGCTTTGGTAGTAATAGTGGGAGTTTGGTTGAACTTCAAGTCAGGCGTTTCACTGCTGATGTAATTTGATTCTGAATATTGTGCATGTATGATGGACAAGGATGCGAAATTCCCTGTGTTCTACTGTGTCTGTATTAAACATGCCATGACATCATCATCTTGTTTTATTTATATGTTCTCTTATAAGTATCAACTGACTGAGTGTATTTTTTTATTTCTATTCTCTAGTATAGATGAGTATCTACACCAATGCGTGTTTCTAATTCCCCTTTTTTTTTTTGCTTTCATGGTAACAGAACCTGACTGGGTGCACCTGCATATCTTCTGAAAACGGACCCGGCACTGCAACTCCTGGGAAATGCCCGATAGCAGGTTGCCGGGAGGTTTTCCTCATCTTCCTGTGTGTTATCTGTGTCTGCAGCCTGGTGGGTGCCATGGCCCAGACTCCATCTGTTATTGTCCTGATCAGGTAAAAATTGCTACATTTGATTAAAAAGCGTTGGATGAATCCTACAGCTACTTTAAGACATAAACATACCTTTTTTTTTTCCTTTTTTGTTTGCTCCTCTTTAAGGACTGTGAGCCCTGAATTGAAGTCATACGCTCTGGGAGTGTTATTCCTTTTGTTACGACTCCTCGGTAAGAATTGATCACAGGGGAATTGATCCAACAATCTTACCCTCGCTTCCTTCCTTTTCTTTTCAAAGTTAAGAGAGTGCTTAAAGTAAAGGCGGTCAGTTTTAAGGCAGACTATATATTTTTTTTTATTGAGCTCAAAGCTTTACGAAGTACTACTTCCACTTCTTTCAACAAATATGTAGATCCATATCTTATTGAAGACTATATTCGAATGTCACCAGATTTTAACAAGGTGTTGTCTGCTTTTTCTGTTTTCCCAGGATTCATCCCACCTCCACTGATCTTTGGCACTGGGATTGACTCCACCTGCCTCTTTTGGAGCTCCAACTGCGGCGACAAGGGAGCCTGCCTTCTGTATGACAACAAGCTGTACAGGCACCTCTATGTGAGCCTCGCTATCATGCTCAAGGTTGTGGCTTTCCTGCTTTACATGACTACCTGGTACTGCCTGCGGAGGAACTACAAGAAATACATCAAAGGAAACGAGGGCAACCTGACGCCCACTGAATTTTACCCATCCCTCAGTGAAGGACCAAAACTGGCGGACAGGACAAAGTTTATATACAACCTAGAGAACCATGAGTTTTGTGAAAATATGGAATCTGTTTTATAAAAATATGGTATTTTTTCTTTGTCTGTTGGAAGGATAAGGCTATTTAAGTCTGAAATGCACTCCACGAGCTTTTCAAAAGGTTCTATTCTAGTTATTCAACGCAGGGGGTTTTCAGTAAGTTCCTGCAGTTCCTGGTGGTAGAAGAGGACCCTGCAGCTCCAGCTGGATCAGTCCGATTGTTTACTAGTGCATAGACGAGATGCTACTACTGCTATAGTTGCCATACTGTTTTAGGTCTGCCATGACGCCAATGATCTTTGTGGTAAAAATGACTGTATGTTCTGTCTGTTACCCTAAAGAATATTCGATTTTACAGATAAGAAAATGTTTCTTCAGATGTTTAAAAGTTGCCAAGTGTTTACAAACTAATAGCTGATGAGTCACTGTTCTACACTTCACTTTAGTGCAGGACGGTTTATTATGAGCAGAGACCAGACTGGATAAAAGTTTGATCTCCTTTTTTTCTGCTGCATCATAGAAACTGTTTTTTAAACTCGGAAAAGACTGTAAGGTCTTTCCACAAAGGTGCAATGTTTGTAACTTTAGCCATTTTTTTAGGATTTTTGTGGGGGAGCAGTATAGCCGTTTTTGTTTCATACCAATTTGCACAGTGTATTCAGCCTAATTTGTCTTAAAAGGGATTCAGTGTATAGTATAGGAATTTATTTCTAAGAAAATAATTCTTTGTTATATATCGAGAGTCTTATGATTGGTTCATACGGCCTTTGATATATTATTACTATTAGACTATATTTGAGCTAAGAGCGGTATAAATTATCTATAAATAACTGTTTTGGATGTGTGTGTCTTATGTCACAAATGATTTAGGACTATTTATGATGATGATAAAGGTATTTTTTTTTTTTTTGGTTTACTGATATGAACAGGACATTTTGAATTTTCTGTGTCTTATCACTCGGCCTCTTGTGTTCAAGGCTGAAAAAAAAAAGTTCTAAAGGCTCCCTAAATGAACCAGGAGTCTTTTTCCTGTATTTAAACCTAAAAACAGAACTTCAGGTTACTCCGCAATCCTCCCTGCAGTTACACTTACAGCTCTGGAAATAAATTATTTTTCAGAAAATTCACTCAAATGGAAATGTCTGTGTTTTATTATTTATTTTTAATTTTTTTTGTCATTAATGAACATCTAGTGTTGATTTTACTGCTGCATGAAAAATTGTTAGACAATGGAAAGTTAAACAATATATCCAGAAGTCTTGTTGACCTTTATGGTAATGAAACAAACTATACATTTAGTGATGCTGTATGTATTAGTGTCACACATTGGCACCAGAATGGTGACTTTTAATTGTTAAAGTACTCACAGGTTAGACATTTTTCTAACTGTTCTTTGACTCGAGTCTGTTGTTTTGTCTGCTTTGATCCATTAGAATGATGGTTTTCCATTTACTAATCCATATCTTTCTGTTGAGCCACAAAAAAGGCTTAATTTAGAGAGCCCCAGACTTTAGTTGAGTTTTAGCAGACCTCTTTAAGTCTAGCTCTACATTATGGGTGTCAAACCTTTTTCATATCAGGTCTTATAAAAGTACAGCTGAAGTTGTATAAATTAACCTTTTGTTTTCATTATTTTTAATTTACAAAAAACACAATTTTCTGGTAGGACAACTAGGACAATGCTAGCCATTATGCACACTAAAAGAACATAATTCCTTTACTTTATGAGGGCCAAATAAATGGCCGCTGTTGGCTGGATGCGGCCCATAGGCCATAAGTTTGACACATATGCTCTACAGTTATATTTCTACCTTTAAGTTATCTATTAATACGAGCAATGTCTGCAACGACCTATTTTAATGATGCATTATAAGCAGCATGTACAAGACTGTTTGGCTTCATCCTAAAATCAAGGTCACATTAATGCCTGTTTTTCACAGAATGACTGACCCTAATAATTACAATTCATAATGCTTTTATTTTAAACAATTCACTTTTAATTAATGATTGTTTCGTTAGATGTAGATTTTCTTTTTTGGTGTACTACATCTGCTAGTGCATATTTAAAAAAAAAAAAGATTGATCCGGTTAATGCACTTTGATTGCAGATTTTGTCAACAGACACAGAATTTCAAGCAATAAATATAGGTTGGATTTGTTCAGCAATGACTCAAATCTTGGACATATTTCCAGAAGTCATTCAGCAGGTAAACAGCGGTGGAGGGAGCCATTCGCCACCAGCTAATTGGTCACAAAGGTGAACAGACTCAAATGACATTTTGGTGTTTGTTAGCATGCTGATTCTCTATGCAGTGTCGCACACTTTACGTGCACTGAATCTTAAGATCAGCTGGAAAACATTGAGTGTAAAATTTTCAAAGAATGGCAGCCCTGACATACAGAAATATTAAACAGCGGGATCTAACCAAATCCTTTTTCGCTATCCACACAGATGTTTATGAAATTATAATAATTCTTAAAACTTGCAATGCAATCAGGTAATATTAGAGTCTTTTGTATGTGAACCAGCCCAAAAGAGTCGACTCATTAAAACATCATCCAGCAATTGCTGTGATTTCAGGCCTTTTGTGCATCTAAATACAACATGCTTTAGAATACAAAAAGGCTGTGTGTTTCTCTTTGTGTTTCTGCATTTTTTTTTGTCCTCCGGAGCTTGTAAATTTCAATTATTCGACCAATGACACTTTCAATGAAGACAAAAGAAGCATCTCCAGCCTCTCCTGACAATACTCTGAGACACAAACACACATACACAGAATGCAGCTTTGAGGTGTCCTTGTTGAAAGTCAAAAACCCACAATATAAATCCGCCAGTTGACACAGAGACAGCTGCAGGCAGGACTTTTCTCTTTTAATCGAAAGCTGTCAGTTAGCCTAACAAGTGCTTTATTGAGATAAATTGTAACACAAGCAGAGCAGAGAAAACAAAGCAGTAAATCGACACTTGGGCACGTCGACTGTTGTTTACCATGTGCTGTCTGTTAGTCGCTGTGTTTCAGTGAAAATAGCTGCTGACCCATGAGAATTGAATTTCCTGCACATAAATTAGACACTTGTATAGGATGCAGATTACGGCAAAATTCCCAAAGCCATATTTCATAATGCAAATATAATCCAAGAAACAATGATTTCTAGTTTTCTTACCTGGACAGTTTTTGTTATGCATGTTGTCATTTTGTATTCTCTCAATGGTGCAGCTGCACTTTCAGTTAATGTCTAGTTGTAGTCAAAACCACACCCCACTAGGTACTCCTTGGTCTTGGTTGGTGTGGTCTTGACAATACTAAGTAAATCAGAACTTTCCTCCTGTGTTTGTGAAGTTGAGCTCATTAGATAATGTATGCAATGAGCTGATGAAGCTGGGAACGCTTGACCAAAGATGTCATCATTTTCCCTGAATAAGCATGAAAGAGCGTTCATAATAATGAACTACTGTTCATAATAATGTTTTTAGTATTTCCTTGTTGTGTCTCAATCCAGAACACAGGGACCCAATATGCAGACTAGACAGACAGTGGAATAACTTTAAAAGCGTTTATTTAAAACTGGTGGATCTAAGTAGCAGTGGCTGGACGTCTGACACAGGAAACTCTGGAGAGAGTTAACTTATCACAGGTTAGTGACCATGTAACTCTAACCGAGGAAATTATTAACATGAGTCACTAACCTGGTTTACAAGTTCAGTCCATGCCCAGAGAATGAGGTAGTATCCACCCAGTAGGCTGCCAACAAGGTGGGACGGGTGCCACCCAGAGTGTCCCAGGAGAACAAGCTGCAGCCCCTTAGAACAAGCAGGAGTCCGAAGCCAGGTCAGGCAAACATATCAGAACAGGAACAGGCAGGCTTACAGTTCCAAGTGTCCAAAGACGGTTCAGGCAAAACATTGAGACTTGAAAAGGCAGGCTCAGTGGTTGAGAGGCAGAACGGGTCAGGATCAGGTAATCCGGAACACCAAGGAACTCTGAAAAGATTGGCACTTGGCTAGAGAGAACAAGAACAATATGGAATAGACTGGATGCAAACAGCTTAAATAGAGGCAGGAACAGGCAGATTAGATGAGAGGTACTGAGAAACTAGGCAGAATTGGACAGGTGGATGAAATGAGCAGTGCCAAGATCATGACATGTTGATTATTTGTGTTCATTCTATTTTCCCATTCATGCTTTGTGCTTAGTTCATTTTGTGTTCAACTCTCTAGTTTTATCATACGTATGATACATATGATACCTACGTATGTATTTCTTTGAAGAGTTAATATTTCTTCTGGTGTGAAGTCTCTTTGTGTCTGAGTTTAGCTACCCATTAGTCTCCCTCCCTCATGCTGCCCTGCATTCATTCTGCCCCAGTTGCTCCAGGTCACACTGGTTCATTTTTTATTCTCCAACCAACGAACCAGCTCAATAGGTTCTCTTTTTTCACAGCTGGATTCTTCCATTGACTGTCCCTCACTCTCTCTGTTACCCTCTTGGTTACTCATCACTCTGCCTTGTACTTCCTCAATCTGTGACTGTTCTCCTGCGATTCTTTTTGTAGGTGTCCTTATATTTTATCATAAAATTTGTGTGTGTGTATTTCAACGCTTATTACAGATACTTGATAACATTGACACTGAGTTCTGATTTGTATTTTTAGAAGAGTTGTTAACAAAACAGAAAAGCTAGTAGAAAAAAACATGTCATCAAATCAGGGAACAAAGCAAATGTTAATTCTTACAATATGGACTAAATTGGTTTCATGTGCATCTTAAACAGAAACAATAAGATACATAATTTTTTTAGGGTTCCATTTATCTATGTTTTTTGAGGCGTTGGTATTATGCTTTTATTTTTTACTAAATTACTTATTTTAATATATTTTTGCAATTTATGTAAGGTTTTCCATCTCATGAAACATTGATCCGTGGCTTTGGGAAACTTATGCAACCTTTTTTGTTTTTTGTCTTGTTCTATCAGTGTCATTTATGGACAAAAAAGTCGAGCAAAGCACAATTGATTGCATTCTCAGGGTCGACAAAAGAAAAGTAATCGGTGGTAGGTAGCAGCAGTCCCACAAAGCTGAGCAGTTTAATCTATCCTTGCTTTTAGAAAACAGAATCTTTCATGAATATAGAAATACATCAGGACGTCTGCTTAATGTCCCCCTTTGGATGTTTTCTAAATGCGTCCCACTGGGAGGAGACCCATTTCAATGGATGAATTATGTTTTCCTATTCTTTGGGAATGCTAAGGATCTGAGATGATGTGTTTTGATGGAGACATATTTATGTGTGGGCCTATAGTAGGGTTGAAACAATTAATCAGATTAATCGTGATTAATTGATTATCGAAATAATCGTCAACCATTTTAATAATCAGTTAATCAGTAACTGGAGCAAAGAGACTCTAAAATTTACCTTTAGCAGACAGAGCAGCCCACTTAGAGTAGCAATTATACCAAAGTTGTTTAAAAAAAGTAAACATTTTGCATTTAAAATGAAAAATGTTTTTGTCTGTCAATATGCTCCATCCAGAACTCCTCAAGTGGAAAGGTTTTAGTTTAACCTGGTTTGATTTAGCAAAAGTCTTCTTTAAGTAACCTTTTGCAATCCGATTATTAATTGATTTATTGAAAAAATAATCAACAGATTAATGGATTTGCAAAATAATTGGTAGTTGCTTCCCAAGCCTATAGGTCTAGTCAAAGTCCGGATGTTAATCCGATGGAGCAAGACTTGAAAATGCATGCAAATAGATGACTTAGACAACTTTTATTGTTATTTTATATTCAAAGTGTATACAAAACAAATTTCGTTTAGTACAGCTTTCCAGACAGTCAATGAAAATTTCTATTCCATAAAGTGCAGCAGTGAACAAATGTAAAGCTTTTTTCATTTTTGCATGTAAGAAGTTATTTTCCGTCAACTTCATTACCCAGTACATTATAATACGTTAGGCTAGTGATTTTTACCAAATTAAGAGTGAAAAAAATGTTAGCAACACCTTTGAAATGTAGCCGAACTAATTGAGCTTCATAAACAAATTCACTAACAAATTATTTAACACTATGTTTATAGGATATAGGGACCCCTATTTTATCATTCTGCTTTATTCTATCTCTATTCTCTGTCTGTTAGTTCATTCTCTAATTCATAGTAGCTTCACCTCATCTGTTCCTGTTTGGCTGTGACCCCATCATGGAGAGAAATATCAGCTGTGCTGCTGCCATCAACAACTTTCACTGCAAAAAATGAAAAATCTAGATAAGACATTTTTTCTTAAAATGACTGCATTTGTTCTTGAATTTAGGAGATAAAAGATACATTTTGCCAATAGAACAAGACAATTTAGATTTAAAATAAGAAAACACAACTGCATTGTCTTATTTAAAGTGCATATTATCTAATTATCTTATTTTAGGAGTAAAAATACTCATTCCATTGGCAAATTATCTCACTTATCTACTCAAATCAAGGGTAAATACACTTAATTTAAGACATTTGTACTTATTTCTACATCGTGTTTCCAGTGTTGTTATAGATCAGGCACCCCCAAACTCGGTCCTCGAGGTTCCGCTGTCCTGCAGGTTTTAGAGGTTTCCTTACTCCAGCACAGCTGATTTTAATTGAAAGATGATTAACAGGCTTTTGCTCTACTGCAAAGATTATAATCAGCTGTGCTAAAGATGGGAAACCTCCAAAACCTGCAGGACAGCAGCCCTCGAGGACCGAGTTTTGGGATGCCTGTTATAGATGTTCAAGATCGGCCTGTTCTTCAGTGTAGTCCTGTTTTTCTGACTCTGACTGGCTGGATGTGCTTTCTTCATCCTCTGACATTGGAGTTGGCTCAGAGTTTGTCTGCCTGGACCGGGCCGCCTTTTACAGCGGCTTTTTGTATCTCTGCTTCTGTCTCCTTGAACCCCAGTCGGCCTCAGCAGATGGCCGGTCACACTGAGCCTGGTTCTGCTGGAGGTTTCTTCCTGTTAAAAGGGAGTTTTTCCTCTCCACAGTCGCTACAAGCATGCTTAGTGTGAGGGATTGCATTGGAGTCATTTAGTCGATGCAATCAACTGGTTTTCCTTAGATTAAAAAAAAACTTTGAATCAATTTTACTTTGTGATCTGGTGAACTGTAAATTGCCTTGAAATGACATGTGTTAAATTAAAATTGAATTAGTTTTTCCAGCATCATTCTAATGTTTGACATCAACTTGAAATGCATCAGTCACAATTTTGGAAAACTAATATAATTTCGACCTTCAACGTGGATTTGGAGGTTTTATTTATTTTTATGTAGTAGTATTTTTGGAAGCCCCCCCTGCGCCTTTAAGGCTGCATGTGGCAGCGCAACTCCAGTGGAGAGCTGTGTAGGTGCACGCTTTCAAAGTTTCACTGGGGGAATAGACAGCAGCGGCGCATCGCCCTGTGGAAAGCGCACAACATCCGAGGAAGGTTGGAGGGAAGGAAGGGGGGAGTGTCCGATTGGAACAAAGAGAGTGAGAAAAAAAAAGATGACAGAGCGGGTCCTGGGTTTCCAGACTGGGATTACCGGGAGGATGTAACACGGAGTGGAAGGAAGAAAAAGGAGGAAGAGTGACTCCCTCCCGGGCCGGTGGATGCAGCCATGCCGCTAGAATTCCGCTCTCTGTTGTTCGGCTTCCTAACGCTGCTGGTTGTGCTCTTGATAATTGGGGATATTGCTGAAGTGGAAAAAGAAAGCACGTAAGTGACCGAGCGTAATTCACCCAATCAGTGTGTCTCCCTCCCTCTGTGCCTATTGTTTGCAGTCCTGCAGGTTGGATCTAATTTATCTGGCGTGCATGGATCAATGAAAGGAGAGCAGAGTGGTGGTACAAATAAAAAAAAACAACAACAAAGCGAGTTGGTTTGAACTGATTGAAGTTTGGGGTTGAATGTTGAGCTGCTCTTTTTCAGATTTGTGGTGCAGCTGCTCCAACAGCAGCGCGCCTGCCTGTCTGCCCGGGTCTCCAAGGATTAGGCTGTTTGTATTGCAGCAGCATGCAGGATATAGGATGCATTTCCACTATAAGAGTGTGCAGAGAGGCTGTGAAATTGAGAATGTGTGGTTGTGTGACTGTGTCTATGAGAGAAATGGGGGGCAGATTTAAGAGGGAGATTGCAAACAGGAAAAAAATAAATGAATACATTTTATTTCCTTCTCTCTCATTGTCAGACTTTAAAATCCTGCAGCAGAATCCCTCCAGGTCATCTATGTTTTTCCCCACTTGCACTTGAACTCCAAGAGCATCTATTCTTCATTTCATCATAAAAAATAAAAAAAACTGCAGAAAATATTAATTCAATGTTTGTGTAAAGCTCATGTGTTTCCCACTTTCTTTCTCTTTAAGGAAGAGCACATCTTATTTTGAGTGCAATTACAGTCTGTGGCTTATTTTGTAATGAGGTCGCATTGGTCTTTGATTTGCTTTGGGAGAAGAACCAGGGCCAATTCATAAATAGCAGCTTAACGGCTTCATGTTTAAAGGCCACACGGATTGAAATGATGCAGGAGTTCAGCCCTCCGTCTAGATTAACCCTCCTGTCGTCCTTGGGGTCAATTTGACCCCATTCAATGTTTATCATTCAAAAAATATTAGTTAACTTTTTTTTTTTTGCTTCATATTTCATGACTTTTCCTAATTAGATGGGGACAACTGGTAAAGCATAAAATTTTTGTGATGTTATTTTTTTAATGTGCTGAATACATATTACACGCATTGGTTGTCCTCTGGGGTCAATTTGACCCCAAGCTGTTTTAGCTGCTAAAACTTGTCAGTGACCTAACATGACAACACCTGCAGGTGCAGAGTTGATACATTTTAGTTGATACATTTGAACTGAGACATCTGGGGATCTGTGTGACCTTCTGAACTCACACCTGCCAAAGTAGAACTGATTTTTCCCGCCTTGTGAAGGGCGGGTTATTCCTACAACGCCATTGGTAGTTCATGCCAAATCAGGGAGGAGCAAACATAAGCTTGCACTACAGTCCTCTATCCAAATCATTCCTCACTGTGCTCTGAGTATACTGCAATCTGCACACTCTCTCTTTGAAAATGTCTTCTGGAAAAGGTTTACTGTCAAAGAGGTTTTGGAGCAGCTCTTTGACAGTGAAAGTGACTTAGAGGAGACTGTCTCTGAGACTGAGGATTGTGTTGAGGAGGACCCTGATTTTGAGGAATTCTCATCTGATGAGAATGAGAGTGTTGACCCTCCTGTTGTCCCTCAACCACCAGCAGACACAATTTCATCCAAAAATGGAAAAATAATATGGTCCCTTTCCCCACTGAAACAGCAGGGTAGACATAGCGCAAGTAATATAATCAAAATGGTTCCAGGACCCACCAGATATGCAGTCAGCCATGTTGATGACGTCATCATTCGAGCTCTTCATAACACCATCAATCAAAAATATTGTGCTTGGGATGACAAATTTAGAGGGAAAGCGTGTTTATGGGGACAGTTGGAAAGACTTGGATCTAGTTGATTTGGAAGCCTACATTGGCTTGCTAATTTTGGCAGGACTTTATAAGTCAAAAGGTGAAGCAACAGCAAGTCTTTGGAATGCTGAGACTGGAAGGGCAATATTTCCAGCCACCATGTTGTTTCTCTCTAAAAACTGTTCCATGTTCTAACTACTACGTGACATGTTCTCATTATCCATTTTCTGTCACACAAATGAATAAAAAAAAACAACAAAAAAAAACAGAAAAAACAACCAAAAAAAATCATAAAAAAACAAAAACAAACAAAAAAACTCTATAACTCTGCCATTGCCGGTCCCAAGCCCAGATAACAAAAGAGGAGGGGTGAGTAAGATCCTACAGTAACTAGCAACAAATATATTACAACAAAATAGATAAAAATAAGTAAATAAATATGTTTATGAGAGGAAAGGGGGAGTCACCAACATTAATCAATATGGTTCATTTGGTAAGAGTCATGAATGTGCTCAGAGTCATGAATGTGCTCAAAACCTGTAAATTTGAGAAGATTTGTATAAAAAAATCAAAATAAACTCATTTTCATTTAAAGGTTTGGCCTGATGGTGGCGCTAGAGGGAAGGTCAACTCACTGATTTTCAAGGGGTTATTTATGTATTCAACAAATAAACAAAGTGCCTGTCACAAAAACTTGGTCAACAATATTCTGTAAATCATTTTCTGGAGGTAAATATCCCTGGGGTCAAATTGACCCCAAGGACCAAATTTGTTACTATATTTGAGGACGATAGGAGGGTTAAGTTTATTAGATGTGATCAAGGTCATTTTTTATATATCTAAGTTTCTGATGCTGAAAAACCTGAATGCTCATGAAGCATATTTGCTCTAAATGCATGATAGAGGATGGTTTCACACCTCTGGAGAGAGCCAGCCCACTTCTCTGTGAAAAGAATACCTCTCCTCAGCCCTTATAATGCTCCATTAAGGCCACATTTCCCCTTATTACATCAGCAAATGGGCTCACAGTGGGTTTCTCACAGTAAAAGAAAACCCAGAAGAGTTCTTTTCACCTTCACTCTCACTCTAGATGAGGCTGAATCCAGTCAGGGTCTCAGATGTTACAGCTGTGAATATGAGATGCTTGCAGTGAATTGAACTGAATCTCTCTTTCCCAGAAATATTGGCCTCTCAAAGAAGACCAGCGCACACCAGCTCCTCCCCCCTCACAGGTCAGAAATTCGATCTTTACTCATGCAAAGTAGTAGTTTATATAAATGGATTACAAAATGCTTAAAAGATGTATTCATTGCAATAAATGATTTTAAAAACACAAAGTTATATATTTCACACTTATTTCACTAATTTCTCTTTGCACATTTTTGGCCCGCAATTAATAAAAAAATCAGTTTCTATTAAAATTTGAATAATGTAAAAGCAATAGATTGTTATTGGTACAGAAAAATATTCTTTCCGGTCATTTCCAAATAATCCAGCCATAATTCAGTAATACTAATGGAAAATGTGTGGTAGAAAACACATGCACACTCAGCAAAAGTGATCTTGTGTTACACAACACAGCCTTTGAGGAAAATAGGCCCTTTTCTTAATAATAAAATAAAGAACATTTAAAGTCACTTCAGCTATACTAAAAATTGCATCCAAGCAGAAAGTACTTTGCTCTAGTATTTTGATAAGCTGCCATTCAATAGATTGTGCAGTAGAGATGCACGATATTGGGATTTTGGCCGATATCCGATATGCCGATATTTTAAAACTCATGTAGCCAATAACCGATATCGATACCGATGTTAAAGCTGGACAAAAATAAGTAGTCATTGAAAATAGCAGTTTTGTTATCCATTTCTGACACTTTGAAAAATAATTTACTCAAATATATTTTCATATGCTGATATCAAATTGATTTTTAAAAACGCGGTATCGATCAATTTTACTTTCTAAATCTCGTGAAATTTCATTGTTCTGTTACAAACTCTCGTAATATTTTGCAAATTCTTGAGAGATTTTGTTAGTAAAATAGATCGATACCGTGTCAATATATCAACATATAAAAATATGGCAAAATTTCGTGGATTTTCGGGGAATTTCATAGCATAAAGATGACATATAGCAATATATCATTAATAAAAGAGATTGATATGGTGTTTTTAAATGGCAATATATCAGCATATGAAGATATTGTGATATTTTAATGTATCAATATTTTTTCCCTCGTCTTTAGAAGTTTTTAAGGCTGTAAAAAATTAGTTTTAGAGGAAGAAGAAGAAGTAGTATTTTTATTTATTTATTTTATTTTTTTAGACTTTAGAAACTCAGAAGCTGATCAAATATCAGGTTAAATATCGGTGGGGTGGCCGATGTCCGATATTCAGTTTTAAGGCCGATACCGATAGGAGGCCGATTATCTCGTGCATCCCTATTTTGCAGCTCTAGTAAGTTATTAGTCCAAGCTAAGAAAGCTGGCTGCTCACATTTTTTTTAAATCCAAGCAAAATTAGACATAGTTGGGTGGTTGAAAAAAGTGTTATACTGAAAAGTCACCATATATATCAAAGAAATTGTCTACATCTACCATATATGGCTAAACAATGTTTCAATATCAGTATTCAATTGAATTCAATTTTGTTGGTGTGCATTAATGATATATTTTAATGTACGTTGGAATCTATGAATACAGCATTTGTCAATAACTGACGCCCTGGATTTGATGTGTTTTTGTTTTTTTCTAAGCAAATATCTCTAAAATGTTTTTTTGGAGGAATTTTATAAAGATTGTAGAATCATTGCAGCTTTAACAGACATCTATTGTGGGCATTCTTGGATGTCTTTTTGCAGATTATATGATATATGTTTTATTGATATGAAAAATGTGATTGTTTTGACCAAAATTGAGAAATTTATTGTGATATTAGTTTTGGCCATATCTTCCATTCATACCACTGCAGAACTTTTGTTAAACCACTCCTCAATCACTGACAGTGAAGCCTCCTTTCTGGGCTAAAAGCACTGAACTGTTACTAAGTGGCTGAAAGTTTCCTTTCTAAGAAGAGCGAGGAGGCATAGAATCCAAGCTGCTTTAAGAAGTTTCCACACATGTGCTCATTGGTTAACTATAATATCAGTGCTGAACATATAAACATTCATATGTATAGTTTGATGCATCTAAATCACACAAGTAACTTAAAACAGTAATAAATGTCTCTTTCGGTGTAATGTATCAATATGAAAAAAAGCTCTCCCTTTGACATCATTTTTTTTTGATGAATCAGCTTTTGACTTTTATGTTAATTTATTGATATGCAGCTGGTCACGTTCATTTAGACCCCGGAAAGCTCTGTTCTTGAGATGTTTCAGACTCCTTTGCAGCCCTGACAGCACAGTGAGTCACCGACTGTGGGTGTGTTTTAACTTTTTACGCCAACTGATATAAATACCCAGCTATGTGTCACACAGTACTGTCATTGAGATACAGCTGCTGGAAATATGCCTAATAAACACTGCTGGGTTTTATACAAGAAATACCTCATTTTAGGTACTCGTCTGTATTAACCTTATATAGGGCAATTTACCATTTTTGATCAATTGCATACCCGTTACAAATGGAGTCCCCCCCTCCCTCTGTGAGGTCTAGAAGAACAAAATCTATATCCAGCCATTCAGCAAAGAGACACATGGCTGTACATCTTATTTTGGCATTTGACCAAAATTTGATGAGCCCTTGAATGATTACCTACTGTAAATTAAGTTGGGAAAAAAAAGTTAACAAGTTAAGAAAAAAGGTAAAAAGCTAATTGAAAATTTAAAAAGTAAAGTTAAAAATTTAATAACTCTAGTTAATAATTATAATTAAGTTTATAGACTAAAAACTGTAAGTACCAGTATCAGCATTAATGCCTCTAAGGTTATGTTGTACCAAAATCAATGTGTTCCTTTCACTCTCAGAGTGCTTTTCACGAATTTCTTATAGAAGCACTTTTGTTATTTTTCTTAATATATTCAGGCAAGTTGGCGTAACTTTTTATTACATTGACATACATTTTTGCCATCAAAATAAACATATTTTTTGAATGTTACAAAGATAATAAGGTCTTGTTCTAGATTCCAATAACGCTATTGGCTTGAAATTTGTTTTTCAAAGTATTAAATTCAACATCTCTATGAATGAGTTAGGGCCACACAATCTTCCTGCTAAAACTACACCAATACATAAGAACAATAAGTGGAGGGAAATTCAAGAGTTTGTTAAACACATTTATTTGAACTTTATTGCGAACTCTAAAATGGCAGCGGTGATATAGAGGCTGCATTTGCATAACACTGTTATCCTGACCCCTGCTCTGAAGTACTACCAGCATTGATGTGCCTGACCAGGCAGTTTTGGCTGCAGTAAATGAACCTACATGTGGAGGAGATTTTGTCTGTTTCTCTATATTCAGGTATGGCCTGGTGCATGTTTAAATATTTTTAGTACCACCCTGAATGCAGTATTAGTTGCATCCAAGTGTGTATTATAACCAGAGGTGGTCCTGTTTAGAGTGCAATATTGTGTAATTACACCTGTTTAATTATTTACCTATTTTGTATTTAACCTGTAAGTGTTCTTATAGTGTTTGATAAATGGAGCTGAATAACAACCATGTTAAATTATATTAATTTGGAAATAAAATTCTAAAGTTAGCTGAATTAACTTTATGCTGAACTTTGAAAAAATAAAGGAGAGTAAAATTTCAGATTTAGTCACTTTACAACCCCAGAATTGGAAGTATTTTATCTGGATACTTTATATCAAAGTTCATGGCAAATTAGTGCATAAATGTGAAGTAGAAGTTTTAAGCCTACCCTTAAAAGTAGACAGGGTGTCTGCCTCAAGGACTAAAACTGGTAGTTGGTTCCACAGGAGATCTATCATCTGTAAATTGGAGGCTACAGCAAAGGTCATTCTTGTGTTAGAATTGCCCAGTTCTTTGTTTCCATCTATATCATCCATCGATCTTATTAAGATGATTTTTCTGTAAGGATACTGGTTCTCAGTAGTTCAGGTTAAAACATATGTACCCTATAAATGTTGATACGAAGCCATACATTTTTTCAATTCAATTCAATTCAATTCAGTTTATTTATATAGCGCCAAATTCACAACACATGTCATCTCAAGGCACTTTACAGTTCAACCAGATCAAATTGATACAAAGTTTTCTATCTAAGGAAAACCAGTTGATTGCATTGACTCATTGACTCAAATACAATCCCCCACACTAAGCATGCTTGTAGCGACAGTGGAGAGGAAAAACTCCCTTTTAACAGGAAGAAACCTCCAGCAGAACCAGGCTCAGTGTGAGCGGCCATCTGCCGAGGCCGACTGGGGTTCAAGGAGACAGAAGCAGAGATACAAAAAGCAGCTGTAAAAGGCGGCCCCGTCCAGGAAACACACAGCCAGGCAGACGAGCTCCAAGGCAGCTCCCATGCCAGAGGACGAAGAAAGCACATCCACTCAGTCACGGTCAGAGAAACAGGACCACACTGGAAAACAGGCCGATCTCCAACATCTATAAACAAGGGTGTTGATAGAAGCAGCACAGCTGATGTTTCTTTCCAGGATGACGTCACAGCCAAACAGGAACAGACGAGGCAAAGCTACTCTGAGGAAAAGCAGAGAGAGCAGAAGGTTAGAGATTGAACTAACAGATTCTGCAGAATAGGAGAACAGAGAGAGAATGAAGCAGAATGATGAAATGGGGGTCCCTATGTCCTCCAAAAGTCTAAGCCTATAGCAGCATAACTATAGAGATAGCTCAGGATAACCTGAGCCACTCTAACTATAAGCTTTATCAAAAAGGAAAGTTTTAAGCCTAGCCTTAAAAGTAGACAGGGTGTCTGCCTCACGGACTAAAACTGGTAGTTGGTTCCACAGGAGAGGAGCCTGATAACTAAAAGATCTGCCTCCCATTCTACTTTTAGAAATTCTAGGAACCACTAGTAAACCTGCAGATTGAGAGCGAAGTGCTCTGTTAGGAACATAAGGAACAATCAGATCTCTGATATAAGATGGAGCTTGGCCATTTAAGGCTTTATATGTGAGAAGGAGGATTTTAAATTCTATTCTTGATTTAACAGGAAGCCAATGAAGAGAAGCCAGGATAGGCGAGATATGATCTCTCTTTTTAATTTTCATTAGAACTCTGGCTGCAGCATTTTGGATCAGCTGAAGGCT